TTTTGCTTTTTTTTTTTTTTTTTTTGTACCTGGGATTGATATCAGGACCTTATGCTTGCAAGGCAGGCATGGTGCCACTGAGCTAAATCCCCAGCCCTGTCATAGGTGGCTTTTGTCAGATTGAGGATTGAGATAAAGATCTTCTATTCTAGTGCCAAGGATTTAGCTCAGCATCCCTGTGTCTGCTTTCAAGTTTCTGCTTGGAAAGCACAAGGTCCTGTGGAAAAAAATTTTTAAAAAGATAAAAAGGACCTTCTATTCTAATTTCTCTAGAGCTTTTATCATTAGTGGATGTTGAACTTTGTCAAATTCTTTTTCTGAATCTGTTAAGATGATCATGTGATTTTTGCTTCTGTTAATATGATACATTACATTTATTGATTTGTGTATGTTGAACCATCCCTGCATCCCTGGGATGCATCCTCTTTGGTCGTGATGTATAAGTCTTTTTGATGACTTGTCTCATTCTTATTGAGGATTTTTGCAGTATGATCATTAAAGAGATTGGCCTGTAGTTCTCTCTTATGGTTGGGTCCTTTTTTCGTTTTGTTATCAAGGTAATTCTTGTTTTCAGGAATGGTTTTGAGAATACTGTTTCCCTTTTCATTCCATTAAAGAGTTTGGGAAGTACTGGCCTTAGATCCACTCTAAAGTTCTTATAGAATTCAGCCACAAATCTATCAGGACCTGGACTTTTCTTAGTTTTTTTAGTACTTCTTCAATTTCATCAACTGATACTGTATTATTCAAAATTTTTATATCTTGATTCAGCTTTGGCAATTCACATGCATCTAGGAATCTGTCAATTTCTTCAGAATTTTTCATTTTATTAGCATATAGGTTCTCAAAGTAGTTACCAGTGAGCCTCCTACAGAACCCATTGTGATTTTGCCTTTTGTTTTTGTTTTTTGTTTTTTGAGACAAGGTCTCGCTATGTAGTTCAGTCTTGCATTGAACTCACTATGTAACCCAGGTTGGCCTCAAACGCACAGAAATCCCCTTGCCTCAGCCTCCTAAGTGCTAACATTACAGGTGTGAGCCATTACACCCAGCTGTCTTTTTCATTTCTAATTCTATGGATCTGGGTGTTTTCTTTCCTTGTTTTGATAAGTTGGCTGAGGGTGTTGGTCTATTCAGTCTTTCAGAGGACTCTTTGATTCATTGATTCATTGTATTTTTTTTGTCTCAATTGCATTAATATCTGCCCTGATCTTTATAATTTCCTTCCTCAACTGAGAACTAATATCTAAAATATATAGAGAACTAAAAATAATCAGACCCCCCAAATTTAAAGACCCAATTAAAAAAATAGCCATATGAAATAAATAGACATGTCCCAGTTGAAGTACAAAAGGCCAATGAATACATGAAAAAACGCTCAACGTGTCAGGCCACTGGAGAAATGCAAATTAAAACAACACTGAGATTTCCTTCTCATGCCAGAAAGAATGGCTATCGTCAAGAAACCAACCAATAGCAAATGCTGGTGAGGCTGCAAGGAAAAAGGAGCCCTTCTTCACTCTTGATGGTAGTGTAAATTGGTAAAAGGACTACAGAAATCAGTATGGAAATTCCTTGAGAAACTAAAACTACAGGTTTCATTTGACCCAGCTGGTTCCTTTCTAGGTATCTTCTTGAAAGAGTTAGTCATCATACCAGTAATACATGCACACCCATATTTATAGCAGCATAATTTATAATAGCTTAATCTTGGAAACAACCCATATGCCTACCAACAGATGAATGGATAAAGAAAATGTATTTATATACAGTAGAGTACTATTCTATCATAAAAATAAACTTGAGACATTTTAATGTACATGGATGCACCTAAGACCATAATCTTAAGTGAAATCAATCAAAACATACAAGTTTAAATGTTGCATTGTTTCTCTTGAGTGAGAAACCCAAAGTATAAATAATGAGCTAGAAGATAGAGGTTAGCAAGTAGGAAAAATTGGATCAAATAGGAAGGGGAATAAGAGATAGGGAGAGAGGGGAGGGAAAGGGAACAAAAGGAAAAGATATTTAAAGGAAAAAATGAATTGAATAAAAAATGGAAATACATAGAGCCTTTGTAACTGGGAAGAAAAAGGGTTAGAGAGGATGTGGGAAAAGGGATTTTAAAAAAGACTCGAGATATATATATATATATGTTCAAATCCCCCACGGTGAATGTGATTATCATATACCATAAATCTGTACTAATAAAAATGAGGGTGATATTAAATATTTTCTAGATATTTAATTAAACTAATAATATTGAAAAAATTGACTTAATAAACAATCACTTTGACTTCCAGTCCCCAAATCCTTTGCCTTTGCAACATCTTTATTGAAGTGAGAGCATCTAACAAGCCAAACTGCTTTCACATTAGGAAGGGGGTGGGAGAGAGGGTGGGGCAAGACAGTGGAACGAGGAACTAGATTTACGTCGCTTCCTGTGCGTTGTCACCAAGGAAACAAGCACCGCTCTGATTGGCAGGGATTGGCAGTTGAAGAGAATGACTTCTGCACCCTCTGATCCGGTACCACTCCAAGTGGGTTTGCCTTTGTGGCTACTGGGCTTGATTTTTATCTGTTTCAGGGCCCTAAAGTTCCACACTCTTAATGTCTGAGCCATCCATCCTCTTAAGGACTTTTCATTCCTCCCTTCCCTGGCGCGTCCATGTTTTCATTCAGTGTCTTGTATCTGTCTGAAAAGCCCTCCCGCCTGCCTTGCGTTCTCACAGATTCTCCACTCTGCTGCTGAAGAAATTCTTGTTAACCCACTTTATACTTTTTCTGGACTCTCCCACCTCCCCCCATGTGATAAAATGGCTTCATGCCTTTTCACTGAAATGTTTAGAGATGAAAAAGGGGAAAAGCCTTTTGAAGGAGTAGTTTATTTCGAGTCTACTCTCAGTAAGGACCACTGATAAAATGGCAAAGTGAAATTAGGAAACTGGTGAAGATGATTAAACACAATGTTTGGTAGATACATTTAGTAGAGGAACCAAAATAGTAAAGGTTCTGATCATGGCAAATTAATCTTAAGATTGTTTTATAGCTTTTTTAAAAATTGAGTTTATTGGTACATTTTAGGTACACAGTACAGTTACATTCATTACTGGGATCTTGTACCTTTACATGACAGGTCTTGGTTCTCATTTTTCCCCCTTGTCAAGGGGGAAAAATGTTTTATAGCTTTTAAAATAAGTGAAGTTTTCAGAGTAACTGAAAAGGACATTAGCATATCTTGTGGGGTTTTTCTTATGAAGTCTAAAAATTGATATAGCAAAGCCATAGTGATTATAATAAAAGTTACTGACTTGAGATAGTATCTCCCAAGTAGACAATGCGCTTAAAATTTTTTATATTTGAATCTGCAAGTGACACATGGGTGCAGTAAAATATTTCATTGTTTGAACAGTGGGTTAATAATACATTTTAGTACCTTAAATTTTATGTAAGATTTTCACTTGAGTTTATTTAGTCACATATTAGCCATATGAAAATATGCCTTATTTCTTTAAGATCAGCAACTAGCCCCTTTGCCATTTTAATAACTAATCCCAGATTTTTACCCTTAAATTTATACCCTTTACAACTTTAATTTCTCCTTCTCTACTGTATCCTATCTAACAATATCTTAACATGCTTTAGTATCTCCCATATTAAAAGAAATTTTAAAATCTTTTTAATCCATTCCTGCCTTTCAGCTACCAGCCCGTTTCCCTGCTCCCTTAGGGCACTCCAAAGTTTGCCGCTGTACTTCTTGCCTTAACTTCTCTACTTCTGAAACCCATTCCAGTCTTTCCCCTGCTACTCCAGTGAAACAGCATTGAAAAGGTCACTAGTGACTTTTCAAACTAATCAAATCTAATTCTTTTTTCTCAATATGCTTGACCCTTAGCAACATCTTATGCAATTATTATCTCTTGAAATATGTGGCACTTCATCACTCCTCAATAATGTGACTTATTTATGAACCAAATGATAATTTTGAGTGCTGGGGTTGGGAATGTAGCTGCATGGTGGAGGCCATGCTTGGCCTGTGTGAGGTCCTGGGTCCCATCCCTAGCACCAAAAAATAAAAGTAAAAACTTGAATACTGGAAGATAAATCCCAAGTATTTTGTTCTATTTATAATGTAATGACAGACACAATGTAAATGATTTATGAATTATATATACACAATTCATACTATAGTGACATATACAGTATACTTTTAATCTATATTACTGACAATTTTATCTTCCTTAGATACAGTACCAAGAAAACAATAAAGTACTAATTTATAACACGTGAATACTCATCATTGCAGGGATCCAAAGAGTTCCCCCAGAGAAGAGATGGAGACCTCATGTCCATCTGCCAAGGAAGTTCTTGGCTCACAACATGGAAAAAGAATTTCAGGATGTGTCAATGTGCAGCATAGGCAGATGTATTAGGCAGGGTTATACAGTAAGGGGGAACAGAAAAGGATTCAATCTTGAGTAGGTGGAGGAGACGCTCGGATGCAGAGGTTCAAACTGGACTGCCCACAAGTCCAACTTTTTGGGTTAGCTGAGGCAGGCCACAGTCGGATGATCATCATCTCACTTCTGGTTTTGTAGTTCCTAAAGAATCATTCTGCCTTAAGGAACAGTTTGCTTTCCCTGGGATGATTGTTCTTGCTTGGGAGGGGAGCTTCCTGGCTTTCCATCATGGGGTGATTGCTCCTGCCTTGGGGAGGTCTGCCAAGTTCTGCTTTGCCTGGAACCCATGGTGATTATGGTTTTGAAGACTTTTAAGCCTTGGTCTAGGGTTTCTGGACCTGATGTTGCAAAAAGTTGACATTTCGGTGTCTCTGCAAACCTTGAAAATTATTTTAGTTTTTCCTACCTTGTCCTAAGTCTTGAAGGGGAATGAGATAGACTAGGTAAATTGAGGGCTAATAAATCTTGTGAACAGACTTCACACGTGGTTAACAACAGGTGTGCGAAGCTGAGCAGGGATCTGACTGAAAAGATTTAAAATAATAAGACAAAAAATTGAGTTTCCTTGTCCCCTTTCTATCTTTCTTGCTTAACCTGAATTGGCCACAGTACAAGTTAGGTAATCTCAGGATCTCCGAAATTGGAAAGAGGTGGACAACATTGCACCATTCGATGCTATTTTACCATGCAGGTACAGTTGACCATTTTGGGTCATCACAGCTGTGCTCCTGGCATCTGATGGACAAAGGAATAAGAATCTGCTAAGCATTCTATCATGCAAAGAGCAGTACCCATCACACAAAGAACGATCCAGCCCAAAATATCAATAATGCCACTGTTTAGAAACCCTGCAACTGGCACAAGTAGCTTCAAGAGAAGACTAAACAGCCAGGAGTAGCAGTTCATGCTTGTGATCTGAGCACTCAAGAGGCTGAGGCAGAAGGCTTGCTAGGAGTTGAACGCTGGCTTGGGCTACCAGTGAGTTCAAGACTTGCCTAAACTACATAGCAAAACCTTGAAACTCCCCCCCAAAATTGTAATTAATAACAAACTATAGGAAAATAGTGATGAGTTTTGAGTATGTATTTTTGTTTATTTTGCTTTGTTGCTTTTTTTGAGATAGGGTCTCACTAGTATTTTTGTTTAATTTTTAGAACTATGGCTAAGTGCCAGCAATGGCTTGGTCCCCCCCCACCTTTGCACCACTTCAGAGAGATGCTATTTATTTTGCAGAGTTGTGGAATGAACCTAGAGCCTTCACACAGAACTACTCCTCAACACTTTTTAGTACTTATTTTCAAACAGTCTTGTGAAGTCACTAAATTGCCTGGGCTGGCTCTGACTCATGATCCTCTTGCCTCAGCCTCCCACAGCACTGGAATTATAGATGTGCACTACCACACCCAGCTCAGAGTGATGCTTTAAAGACATGTCAGATCATGTTTCCAATATGTTGTGGATCGTTACTCTCATAAAAATAAAATTTTAATTATTAGAAAAAGAAAAAGACCAGATATGCAAACTTGGAAGTCCACTGATGATGTGCTTATATGCCTCATCAATATCAAATTGCTATACAAGTTTCTAACTGCTCTGAATTTATTTCACTTGGTCACACAGTTGCGGGATAGCATGGGCCAGTGGACCGCACTCGGAGTAGCATGACCTACATATGCTGCAGGCAGGAGGGCTCCCCCTGCCCCATCACCCCCCCATCTGTCTCTGTTAACTTTTCTTCAATGTGTTGTCCTGCTCAGGCAAAGTAATGAAAATTTTCTTTAATTGCTCAATACAGTTCATTACAGAAGTAAGAAAAAACCAAGTTTTTAAATCCCTCAATTCTCTCACCACTAAATATTGACAAATTGATATGTGTGTATATGCATATATGTGCTCGCATATAAATATATGTTAATATATATTTCAATAGGGAAAAGCTAATATAGCTTATGATAGATTGTTTAATAAACTTTAAAAATTAAAAATATGAACCAGTTTTCATATCCATGTGTATCTTCATCACTTTTAATATTCTCACTGAATTCTATTGTTATACAAATGCATATTTATCAGTTTCCTATTCAAACAGCTAATTTTGTTTGATTGCCTATGATTTGCTAGAAAGTGGGGCAAAGGATACAGCCATAAATAAGAAGAATGTTCCCAGAGGGGAACTACTGACATGGTGGAGGGACGAGATAGAGTGAATGTCCAACAAACAAGCATCTGTCGATCCCCCGAGGAGACATTAACTTACTGCATGGGCAGCCTCTAAACACCCGTTCCCTGTATTGCCGGACACGCAGGCGCAGTGTGGAGAAAGTTTAGGTGAAATTGTTTAGATCAAAGCGCCTGGTAATCACAGTCACACGATTAGCTAAAAGGTGTTTTTAAACCCAAGCTTAAGTTTTTTACCGACAAAATTGGGAAAGTATTGGGGAAAACGCTGAACTTTTCCTGAGTTATCACTAATACTATCTGTCATGTGATATTACATACTGCACATGTTTTGGTTATGTGTTAAAACCAATCACCATGCATTGAAAACAAAGTTTTCAACTGAAAGCAAAGTTTAGCTCTTTAAAGAATATTAAAAGAGCTACTGTAGTCCTATGTCCTATTTATTTTAGCTTTTCACTTTTGTAAAATCTAGAATGAAGCAATCATATATAATGTTTATAAGTTAGACATTTTTAGGACAGTTTGACAAATTTTTACATGCATGCTGTTTTTAATGAAGATATGTATGTATATGTGTGCGCATGTGTGTATATGCATATTTCTAAATTATATGCTCATTGCAGAAAAAAAAAATATAAAAAGCACAATAAAATAAAATATTTTTCATTTCTGATCCTAGTTCCCTTAATATGCTGGCTTCTCCCCACAGATAGTCATAACAGTTTTTTTACACCCTTCCGGAGAGGGTCAATGCAAATATATATGTGAATACCTTTTGTCACAGCAATTCTAAAATCTATTTTATAAAAACAGGAGTCCATGTTACACAAATACATGTGTAAAAGATACTCTAACTTTGGAGTCAGGAAAAAAAATCTGAATGTCAAATGGAGAAAAAAATTAAGTAACACACCCATTCCTAAGAATACTTTGCAACTATAAAAACAAGCAAAATACATATGTAGCAAAGTGGAAGAGCCTCCAACACATTAAATAAAAAATAAAAATGTAGAGTTTGATTACATGAAGGCCAGCAAACCTATATGTGTATATTTATATATTGTATATAGGTATATACACACAATATATATAAATACAACATGGATATATTTATACATATACTTTTAATTTTAAATGTGTAAGAAAAATCTGGAGGAATCACATCTGTTAACAGAATTTTGAAAAGTGAATTGGGCTAAAAAAAATGAGGGTGCATTTTTACTTTTCATTCTGTAGTTTGAGTTTATATATTTACATAAAGCAACAAATTTAGAGAGCATTATGAAATTAGATTTTAAACAGCAGTGAGATGTTAAGGAATTTACATAAATTTTAATATTTAATTTTCCTGGTTTGTTGTTATTTGTAAATAACCAAAGTTACTGTATTCTGTATATGGCCTACTCAAAAAAAGGGACAAGCCAGGCATGGTGGCGCACGCCTGTAGTCCCAGCACTCAGGAGGCTGAGGCTGGAGGATCGCTGTGAGTTTGAGACCAGCCTGGGCTACATAGTGAGACCCTGTCTCAAAAAACAAAACAAAACAAAATTTTCTCATATTTTAAAGCTGAAATTTTGATAGGCTTTTTAAAAATTACATAAATCTCAGATTAACAAATCTATCCCCTGTATTTGTCTTTTTAAAAAATATATTGACGGGTGTCTTTAAAATTATTAAAATGGATTATCACACCATTTACAGGGAAAGCATTTTTTTCCTCAGAGTTCTTGGATTGCAGGCCTACCCTATCACACCAAGTTTGAGGTAGAATTTATTGATGTAAGCGTTGTCTTAGGATTGATGGTGTGCACCTGTAGACCCAGCACTTGGGAGGCTGAGGCAGGCAGATCACTTGAGAACAGTCTGGGCAATATAACAAGACCCCAACTCAAACAGACGACAACAAACTTGGTCTGTGTTACTTAAAAAATGCAAACATTTCACTCATCTCCTTATGCCTCCTCTACTATTTGTAAGGAAATTTGTAAGGCTTTTTGTAAGGAAAGATAAAAGGCAATCTTTTTCTTACAAAATTTTGTACTGGGGAATCAATACATGTACACAATGCATCTGAATTATTTCATTCCCCTTCCTCTCCTTCCTCCTCCCTCCATTTCCTGGTCCCCTTCCTTTATTGTCGTATTTTGCTGTTTATTTATACTCTGAGTTTCCATATAAGAGAAACCATGGGATATTTAAAGTTGTGTCTGATTTATTTCACTCACCTTGGTGGTCTCAAGATGCATTCGTTTTTATGACTCAAGTTTATCACCCTTTATGACAGAGTAGCCCTCCACTGTGTAGAAATGCCCCATTGTGTTTACTGGTTTATTTGCTAATGGACTACAGTCTGATTCCAAGATTATTAGCTGCTACGAGTTGTACTGCTAAAAGCATGGAATGCATATATTGTAACACGATGACTTTAATTCTTTTGGGAAAATACTGTCCTAGAAGTGGAATAGCTGGGTCAGTGGAATTTCTATTTTTAGATTTTTAGGGAAACTCCATACTGGTTTTCATAGTGACTTTACTAGTTTACATTCCCACCAAGAGTATAGAAGTTTTCCTTTTTCTCTGCAGTCTCACCAGCATTTATTATTACTTGATTTCTTAGTGATAGCCATTCTTTCTGGAGTAGAGGGGAGTCTGTGTTGTTTTAATTTGCATTCACTAATGGCTAAAGGTGTTGAACATTGTGTGTGTGTCTGTGCATGTGTGTGTGTATTTATTTTTGTCACTTTTAAGAATCATTTCAGTTACTATTCATTTCAGTTTTTTATTGGGTCTTTTAATTTGGTGGGATCTAATATTTTTGAGTGCTTTATATATCTGTGAATTAGTCCTCTACCTTAGGAATATAAAATAAATTTCCCCATTCCAGAGGTGGTCTTTTCACTCTGTTGTTTGTTTCCTTTGTTGTATAGGAGCTTTTATTTTGACATGATCCCACTGGTTGATTACATTTTGTCTTCTGTTCAGAAAGTACTTGCTTATGCCTATGTCATTAAGAATTTTAGCTGTTTTATCTTCCAGCAGATTAAATGTTTGTTTTAACATTTAGATCTTTGATCCACTTTGATTTTAGTTTTGCACATGAGGAGTGATTAGGGTCTAGATTCCGTAATCTGCATGTGGATAACCAGTTTTCTCAGCACTGTTTCTTAAAGAGGCAATTTTTCCTTCAGTGGCCCATTTTTCAAAGATAAAATAGCTAAATGTGCCTGGAATTGTTTCTGCATCCTGTATTCTGTTCCATTGATCCACATGTCAGGTTTTGTTCAATATTATGCTGTCTTAATCACTGTAGCTCTGTGTAGTATACCTTAAAGTCCAGGATGGTGATGCCTCCTCCTTTGCTCATAATGCCCAAATTTACTTCTGCTATTTTGGATTATGGATTTTAGGATTATTTTCTCTAGGTCTGTGAGAATGCTATTACTATTTTTATTGGGGCTGCATTCATTCTGAGTATCAGTTTTAGAAATAAGGCCATTTTGGCAATATTGGTTCTGCCTATTCAAGAGCAGGGATATCCCTGGTAAAGAAATAAATAAAACTTTACTCAAGAGCAGGATATCTTTCCATTTTCTGATGTCCTCTTCAGTCTTTTCAGAGGATTGTAGTTTTTGTTGTAGGAGTCTTTAACTTCCTTGATTAGATTAATTCTTAAGTTTTTAACTTTTCTTGATGCAATAGCTAATAGTACTAGCCAGGCTGGTGGTGCACACCTTTAATCCCAGCACTCTGGAGGCTGCTGTGATTTCGAGACCAGCCTGGGCTACATAGTGAGTTCCAGATCAGTCCCAACTACATAGTGAGACCCTGTCTCAAAAAACCGAAAAACCAAAACAAAACATATCCCTTTTATTTTTCTCTTTCCCAATTTTTCTGGCTAGATTTCAGCTTTTCCCTGTTTAATATGATGTTGGCCATTGATTTATCAAAAGTGGCTTTGATCAGATTGAGATAAAGTCCCTCTATAACTATTTTCTTCAGGGTTTTAACATGAATGGATGTTGGTTTTTCTGTGTCTATTGAGATGATTCTGTGATTTTTAAAAAAATGTTTATTTATGGTATTTTACATTTATTCATTTGTGTATCATTTGAACCATCCCTTCACCCCTGGGATAAATCCTGCTTGGTCATGATGGGTGACCATTTTGTATTTGTTACATTGTGTTTGCTACTATCTTCTTGGACATTTTTAAGTTCCATGTTCATCAATGAGATTGACCTGTAGTTCTCTTTTTTGGTTGAGTTCTTTTCTGGTCTTGGAGTCAGGGTAATGCTAGCTTCTAGGAATGGCTTTGAATACTTCCTTCTTTCATTTTCATTGTAGGGTTTGATAAGTATTGGCATTAGGTCAACCCTAAAGTTCTTGGTAGAATTCAGCAGTGAATCCATTGGCACCTGGGCTAATTTTGTTGATAGGTTTTTGTTTTTTTTTTAACTATTTCAATTTCATTGCCAGTTATTGGATTATTGATTTTTGAGTATTGATTTTATATCCTGCTTTGCTATTGAATTTGGTTTTTAGTTCTAGGAGTCTTTTGGTAAAATTCTTTGGGTTTTTGTATCTTCTTGGTTCAGTTTTGATAATTCATATATATATCTAGGAATCTATCCATTTCTTCCAGATTTTCTAATTTATTAGACTACAGTTTCTCAATGTAGTTATTAATAATGTTCTGGATTTCAGTGGTATCTGATGGGGTTTCAACTTTTTCTTTTCTAATTGCATTGATCTGGATCTTTCCTTTTTTTTAGTAAGATGGCTAAGGGTTTATTTATTTTATAAATAACGAATTCATCAATTCTGTATTTTTTTAATCTCAATTTTACTAATATCTGTTCTTTTTTTTTTTTTTTTTTTTTTTTGAGACAGGGTCTCCCTATGTAGTTGAGACTGACCTGGAACACACTATGTAGCTCAGGCTGGGCTTGAACTCACAGCAATCCTCCTGTCTCAGCCTCCCGCGTGCTGGGATTACTAATATCTGTTCTTTTTTTTTTTTTTTGAGACAGGGTCTCACTATGTAGTTGAGACTGACCTGGAACACACTATGTAGCTCAGGCTGGTCTTGAACTCACAGCAATCCTCCTGTCTCAGCCTCCCGAGTGCTGGGATTACTAATATCTGTTCTTTATAATTTACTTTCCTCTACTAGCTTTGGATTTGGATTGGTCTCATTTTTCTAGTACCTTGAAATTCATTATTATGTTATTCATTTGGGTTCACACTGTTTTTCTGATGTGGCTGTTCACAGCTATAAATGCCCTCTCAGGACTGCTTTCATTATGCTCTGTGAATTCTGCTATGTTGTACTGGCATTGTCATTTGATTCTAGTAAATAATTTCTTCCTTGATTAATTCTGCTTTCCATTGATTATTCAAGAGAGTATTACCTAATTTCATCGTGTTTATGTAATTTCTTTGGGTTTTTTGCCATTTGTTGCTAATTTCATTGCAGTATGACCTGATATTATATATGGGGTAATTTCAATTCTTATGTATTTATTTATGCAAACTTCAAGTTCAATGCTGGCTTATTTACTCACTGTTTTCCCTTAGGCCTTGAAGGTCAGTCTCTTCATCCCTAGAATAAGCATATTAATAAAATCTGCCATGCAAGATTTCTTGGAATTAGAAAAAATAAACAAATTGGAATATATTGGGCAATCAACAATTGATGACATTTGATTAGAAATATTTTGATATCAAATCTCATTTTCATTGTTTCCTTTATAGACCTGTATTTAATTTTGGTTGAGTTCTAGTGACAGAACCCTAATGGAACATATAAAATAATTTGAATGAACGCTTTTTGGTTGTTTTCTTTTAGAACTTTCAAACACCTCAGAAAAAGGAATTACAATTGACAAAGCAAGATAGAGCTGCAAGAATCATTCAGAGGGCCTGGAGAACTTTCCTTGTGAGTTTATTTAGCAACTTTATTGAGATTTAATTTCTGTGCCATAAAATTCATCTATTAAAGTGTACAACTAAGCTTTCAGTACATTTATGGAATTGTGTACTACCCTTTGTTTTAAAAGCAAACTAAGTTTCAAAAAGATACAATTTATTATTTCATTAGCTTCACAAATATTTATTGAGTTCCTGAATTAGACCAGGCGCTGTGACAGTGACTATTAGCAATGAAAGTATCATTAATAGGCTCATTTGACTTTCACCTCTAAATGCTTTTGTTAGGGATATCTTTACTCATTTAAATATTTGTTCAGTTCTTATTCTTGAGGAGCTTATAGTTTCATAACATATTGTATCTGGGTAATAGTTACTTATTGTGTGTAATAGGGATGCAGCTGGTCTGATAAGGAACATTGCAAGTCCTTAACCTGGTTGGGTGAGAATGAAGAGCTAAAGTGACCGCACCTTCCCCCTCTAATAACAGTAATACGCTTTAGAGCGAGGTTGGGTGAAGTTGGATTGCTGTGTATAGCACACAAGGCTGCCTTTGTAGCAGTTAATGAAATCTTGAAAACCTTCCATTGTTTACCTCCTTTTCTTCTACAAAAGCTATAAAACCTATGTGGGGCATAATTATATTGTCTAGAAGCATTAAAATAGTGATTTTATTTTAAAGCTGTGCCTTCTTTTGTTGGTGTCTGTCAATATGCTCGTCATCTAAGTTTAAGCTTTATCATTTGTAACTTTTCTCCCACATCCAACTGACTGCACAGCTTTGAATACCTATCCATTCCTGGCACTGCTAGGCATTTTGTAATATACCCTTATCCCTAAAGGAACTTCAGGAGAGAAGCAATGCATGAGCACATTCTTTTAACGGCATCTATGGATGGATTGGTAGACTGAGTGTACATTTTCACCTTCTATCCCGATAAGGCCCCCTTGAAATGACAGTATGTAAATAACATGCACAACACAGAGAAGGGGGTTCCTAATTAGTTAGAAATCTTACCTGATTCTGGGAAACTAAAAATAGATGAAACTGGGTAGAAACACTTACCTAGACATACTTCAAGGGGCTCTGGTAAAGAAATTGCTTTGTCACTGGAACCCCAGAAAGGATATGAATTTGAAGTCAGCAGTTTTAAAAGGTTATAAGCAAGACAGAAGACAGGATAAGTGGTGCCTAGTTATGGAACTGCTTTGGCTGTTGTTTCCACTGTCCCCTCCAGACCCAGAGGTGCAGGTAGATGAATATTTCCCTTTGTCAAAATCTTTCTGGTAAGTGGATATATAACATTAGGTAAACAAACACGAGTATGAAGGCTTTTTAAAAAGGAGGAAGAAGCCGGGTGTGGTGGCCCACACCTGTAATCCCAGCACTCGGGAGGCTGAGGCAGGAGGATCACTGTGAGTTCGAGACCAGCCTGGGCTACAAAATGAGTTCCAGGTTATTTCAACTACATAGTGAGACCCTGTCTCAAAAAAAAAAAAAAAAAAAAAATTAAAAGGGGGAAGGACAGACCAGTGACTCTGGGAAATGTAGTTTCGGGGTGGATTTGGCACTCAAAGTAAAACCTTGCTTACCTGACCATATTCCTTAAAGCCTGATTAACTGGTTCCCATCATGTGACTAAGCTCCCCTTCGCAGCCACAATGATAACAAAAGGGAGAGGCTGATATGGAAGTACAGGCTACTCTACTAGTTCACTAGGAAAAGTGACACTGCCCTTTTTCATAGTTAAGTATGATGGACTACCAACGTTCACTTGACATTTAAGGGAAACAAATGATGTAAGAACAAAGAGAAAAGGATGAAATATTACCTGAAGGAAATAAAAATAATGATCAGTTTAAATTAGATCAGGACATTGAATGGCTCTAAGAGTATGTACAATTATTTTTAAATCACTTTTACTTGTGGGCTGTTGACTTTCTGTAGACAAAATTGAGGACTTATGTTACTCATCATTTACAATCCTGTGCATACTCCTACCTCCAGTATTACATTATTTTTTAGCCCTCCTATTTGCTACAACATTAATTTAAAGAATATTTAAGTCTTTGTTTCTTGTTCCTTGGGGTTGCCCTATTCAGCTCCCTATTACAGATGATGAGGATCTTTAATTGTGTTGTTATGGCTACTTCAGTGTCCTGGATTGATTCAAAACTTTTATCCTTCATGGTCATTTTTACTTTGGGAAGAACCAGAAGTCATGTGGTACCAAATCAGGTGAATAAGGTGGATGAGAACACACTGTAATGTTTTTATGAACCTGCCTTTCTATTCAATGGAATTCAGCAGCATTCACCGTAATTTATTTTTCATTTATTTTGAGACAGGATCTCACCATGTAGTTCATGCTGGTCTTGAACTCACTAATTAGCCCAGGATAGTCTAAAACTTTCAGTAATCCTCCTGTCTCAGCCTCTTGAGTGCTAGGATTATAGATGTGCACTGCCACACGTGGCAATATTTTTTGGGTAATACCTTGTAAAGACACAAAAGAGGACTTCAAGAACAGCTTCAGAAAGTGGCAAAGATAGGATAAATGTGTTCAAAGTAAGGGGAGTATTTTGAGGAAGGTTAATGGTAATATGTCTTTTACTATAATTTTTTATTTAAACAAGCTATATTTTTGACCAGCCTCTTATTAAGGGGTTCATTATATTTCCACACAAATTCAGCTCCCTTTTTCTCTTCAGAAACTTCCCAGCTTCCATTTATTTTTATTCTATTATCAGCTTTTTTTTTTTTTTAATCTTACACATATGAGAACCTGTGGTATTTGTTTTTCTAAATCTAGTTGATTTTTCTTGACAGATGTTTTCCAGGTCCATCCATTTTGCTGTTGGATGCATTTTCTATGTTCTTTTGTTGTTCATAAGGGATTTCTGAGTATACAGTCACCCACATCACCTCACCTTCTAGTTCTGATATTCTGTCCTCACACTGGTTGCTTCTGCTGCCCATACTTTCAATAGATTTTTTTTTAAATCTCCTGGATTTTTCTTTGGTACCTTTTCTTGTACTCTTAATTCTTTGCTAAACTGGTTATTCATGTTTTGTACCATCTGTTTAGCTCCTTTGCTTTTCATTAGTGTCATCTGTAAGCTCACTGATTATTTTATTAAGGCCGTGATCTATTGAGTATTTGCATCCTTGAGATTGTCAAGTACCTTATTCATCTATTTTTAAAAATCTTGTCTCCTCTTTTATCATTTCATGTAATTCAGCTCTCTGGCTTTTGATTTCCTTCCCATCAGTTCTCCGTGGATCAGCTTCAGGGGAGTTGGTTGTTTTTGGAGGCATTTTATTGTTTAGTTTTTTCACAATGCTCCCTCCCAATGCATGTGCATTTTTATTGGTTAATTTCTTGATGGTAGCCATTCTTTCTGGAGTGAGTGAGATGGAATCTCAGTGTTGTTTTAATTTGCATTTCTCAAATGGCCAGTAACGGTGAACATTTTTTCATGTATTTATCGACCACTTGTAATTCTTCATCTGAGAAGAGTCTATTTTAGATGTCCATTTTTAAACCGATTCTTTAAATTTTGGAAGTCTAATTTTTTTCTTTAGTTCTTTATTTATTCTAAATATTAGTCCTTCATGAAGTAGCTGGCAAAATATTTTTTCCTATTCTGTAGGTTGACTCTTCTCAATGTAAAATTTAAGGATAAAACTCTTCATGAGAATAATACCAATATTACCTGGTTTATAAAATCAAACTAGATGGTTACTATTTCCAAAATCTAGTTTATATAAATAAGATCTATTTTTATGGTTTGTATTTTTGGTGTAATTAGGCAAATAGCTCAATTAGAAACTGAAAATCTAATTTTGACCATAAAACCTTATGTGTTTGAACCTTAGAATGTTTCCATATTCCAGCACTTTAAAAGTCTGATTGACTTAAGAAAACAAGGGGAGCCACATCAGATAGTGAGATATATTAATCCTAAAGAGGTAAGAATATTTTTTAATAGCATAGTATCTTATTCTTCCTTTAAAATGTGTGGCTACTTTACTAATTCAATATTTCCCTTAAAATTTTCATGTATTACCCACATAGTGAAAACTATAAAGTATAAATACATGGCTAAACGACTCATCAGAAGCAAACACCTGTGCAACCATCACCCAGACCAATGTTTTCATACTTCAGATTGTCCCCTTCAGGTCCACTCAAATCACTGCTGACTTCATCCTTTCAAAAGGACTTTGGAATTCTAACATGTACATTAGTTAAAATATATATATATGTTAAATTATACATATCACCATTTTAAAATAACATCTTCTGAGGTTTATGATGTTTGAAAAAGTAAAAAATATGTAAAATACAAAGGATAAGACAGGAGTAATTGGAGTTACTATGTCACAAGATTTTTGCATTGTTTACAAAGTGATGAAAGTACATGCAGGTACTAATTTAAGGTAGATAGCAACAAGTAGAGATGCATATTGTAATCTCTAGAACTCCTAAAGAAGTCACACAAAACAGTATTATATAAAAGCTAACACATGAGAACATATAGAATATTGACAATTACTTGATTAATCCAAAGAAATGCAGGAAAAGAGAAATAATGCAATAAAAAACAAGGAAAAATAGAAAACAAAAATCAAGATGGTTGATTTAACACAAGTACATCAGTAAGATATTACCCTTCCTTGGTCAACTATATCAGCAAGTTTGTCAATAATTTTGTATTAAAATGTTTAAGTCAAAAAATTTATTAAACTGTAAATAAACTAAACAACACAAATATGCAAAAGCAAAGGTTGTCAGACAAAAATACCATCTTTACATTACTTTTTAGTCAGACTTTAATGGCACAGAAAGATACAAAGTAAAAGGATGGAAAAAGATATAGCACATCATGAAAACTTTAATGAAAAGAAAGCTAGTGTCAGGTTAATATCAAACAAGTTAGTCTTTAAGAAGTATTATGAGTTATACAGAGACATTTCATAATGAGTCAATTCAACCAAAAAAATGATAATACTAAATCTGTAGAGCAAAAATGGACGTACAGTAATTGCCAAAAGAAATATAGTAATTTTCAATCAGACTTGATTAATTCTTGGCTGTTGACAGAAACAAGTCTTCAAAAATAATGTAGATATAGCATATTTTAATATCATGACACAATTACATATATAATAGTGATATATTGCCAACACTGCAAAATATTTGAGGTTACACAAAGCTAATCTTTAAGTTAAATATGCAGGAAATACTTTCTAAAATAGGCTAGGACTTCTTGCAAGTTTCAACAGATTTTAAAGTATTAAGACCATAGAGAATATTCTCTAGACCCAAGGGAATTAAACTATACATCAATAAGAGTAAGAGAAGTAGAAAGTCACATTTTTACAAATTTATGACATAAAATTAAATAATACGAGTTAAAGAAAATTAGAAAATGTTTCAATTAGTGATAATGAAAACATGACATCAAAGATTAGTGCAATATATCTGAAGTAAAGCTCATAAATTTCAGAGGAAATTTTATAAATCTATATAGTAGAAAATGAAAGAGACTGAAAATCAATTTACTTTTTTTACTTCAAGAAGCCAGAAAAAGCTGTGCATGTTGGCACACACCTGTAATCTCAGCACTTGGGGGGCTGAGGCAGGAGGATCAGTGTGAGTTTGAAGGCCAGCCTGAACTACGTAGCGAGACCCTGTCTGAAAAAAAACAAAACCCCAAACAAACAGAAAACAAACAAACAAAAAACCCTCCCCCCACCAAGAGAAGCCAGAAAAAGATAAAACTAAAGAAAGTAAAAGGAAAAAAAAAATAGTGGGCAACCCATTTGGGACCCCTCCTGTTTCTGAGGAGCTATTCTTATTCCACATCTCTATTCCCCAATACATTTTCCTACTCTTAAAAAAATACTAACACTGAAATCAGAAATCAGGAAATAAGTAAAAATAGAGAAACAAAGCCAATTGGCACTTTGAATAAAACTACTAGCACATCTGATACATCTGAATGGCCAGTAAATCCAGGCAGAGATGCTCAATAGAAATTAAAACTTCAGGGGAGGGGGATTTAGCTCAGTGGTGCTGCCACCTGCCTTGCAAGCACAAGGTCCGGAGTTCAATTCCCCGGTATCAAAAAAACAAAAATTAAAACTTCAGTGAGCTGCCACTGTAACCTTCCCGGAATGGCCAAAATTAAAAGGGTTGGTAATATCAAGTATTTATACAGATGTGGAGCAATCAGAACCTTCATATATTGGTGGGCAATGAGTTGATAGAAAAACTTTGGAAAATTCTTTGGCAGTTGCAAGTATAACTAATTATGGATTTTATTAGTTACTTTTCTCTTGTTACTGAGACGAAATACCCAACACCCAAAGTTAAAAGGGAAAATGTTTATTTAGCTCCCAGTTTGCAGAGGTTTCAGTCCATAATGAGCTGGCTCTAAGGCAGAGTGGTACATGGCAGAGGGGCAACATTTCATGGTGCCCACATAGTAGAAAAAGCAACAAGGGAACCTAATGGCATCTTTCTGCCCCTTTCATCTTATCCAGAATAGTTAGAGCGGGTAGCACCCACACTCTTAATTTTAGTGCCCTTGAGCCTGGCATTGCACCATGAATCAATCACACACTCTAGATTCAACCACCTCTGAAAAAGCCCCACCTATGACTGCATGAACCTTGGGGGTACATCCAGACACAGCCATAACATACATACACCCTCATGCCATGCCATGAGTTATGTCCTCCAAAAGTTCATAAATTGGCAACTTAATCCCAAAATTAATATCTTTTTTTTTTAATGAGACAGGGTCTCACTATGTAGTAAAGACTGACCTGGAACTACCTATGTAGCCTAGGCTGGTCTCAAACTCACAGTGATCCTCCTGCCTCAGCCTCCCAAGTGCTGGGATTATAGGCATGTGCCACAATGCCCAGCTGGTACAAATTCATATCTTGGTAGTATTTGAGGTGAGGCTTTTGACATGTAATTAGTGTTAGATGGAATCATAAAGGTGGTACCTCTGTGATGAGATTAGTGGCTTTATATAAGAGAGACCCAAACTTGCCCTCTCACCACAAGAGCTTCCTATCATGTAGCAGAAAGCCCTTCAACAGATGCTGGACTTCTTAGCCTCCATAACTACATAAAAACTCAGTTCTTTGTAAATATCCCAGGCCTGGGCATTCTGTTACAGCAACAGGAAGTGGACAGAGATACCTGTGACCTCTCATACTCCATTCCTGTGTGTAAAACTAAGGGAAGTGTACAGAAAAATCCACCTGAAGATGTGAACAAGAATGTTCATTGCTGTTTTTTCTCAAAACTAGAGTCATAGAAAATAATCCAACAATAACTGAGTTGAAAAATAGAGGTATATAAGTGATACAAGACGGCAATGAAAAAGAACTACTAGCATATTCAGTTTACAGATTGACCACAAATTCAAGTTGAGTAGAATGCCAAGCACAGGACTATATAATATATAATTCTTTTGTATGAATTTTGAAGCTGGAAAAATTAATTTTTTATAATAAAGGGATTTGGAGAGACTATATTATAAAATTATAAATATAAATACTATATATAATATATAATACATATAATATATATTATATATAAATACTATATTATAAATATAAGGATAATATGAAAAGGTATGTTTTTTTAAAGCATTGAAATATTGTTTTAATAGCAAAAAAATTAGAAATAATCTAAAAAGTGTTTTATAACAGAATTCTCACACTTCATACTTGAATTCACAAAACTTTTAATCAGGAAAATATTAGTTAGCAAAAGTAATGTTGTTTTTCAGGCTGTATAGACCAAAAAAATCAGGATAACATCAATTTTCTCATCTAATGTTAACAGGAGATAAAGCTGAATTAACTTTTAATAAAGGATCAAGAATTTTTGGTTCACCTTTCATTTGGCACAGAGCCACTAATATTTATGAGACCTATTGTCCTTACAAAATTTTGAACTGGAGTTTTGATTTAACAAAGCCAGTTAGGAAAGGTATTCTAAGATTGAAACTGGGTTGACTCATCACAACTTTTTTCTGAACTTACATGTAATAAAATATTTTGTATGTAAATCAAATATTTGAAGACTTACTTAAAATTTCTGCTTTATGAATAACAAATCACTGCTTTTCTATTTATATTGTGTAGAGAGGAAATACTCATAGTTTGGTATCATTTTTCCACTTACAGATAAGCTGTTTTAGTTACTGGTGATCATAGAAATTTAGTCCTTAACTCTTACAATATTGTCTAATAAAAAAGTAAATATTTGTCATCTGTTCACTTACCTTTTTTTACAAATAATATTCTGTAGCCGGGGATTTAGCTCAACAGTTCGGTGGCCTGCCTTGCAAGCGCAAGGACCCGAGTTCAATCCCCAGTACCAAAAAAACAAAAAATAAATAATATTCTGTAACTATTTAAAATAATAAAGTGAGAAGTAGCAAGTTAATATATACAGAATGTTGAAGAGTAATGATACATTTTTAATTTATTTTTGGTACCGGGGATTGAACTCAGGACCTTATGCTTAGAAAGCAGGCGGCTGCACCACTGAGCTAAATTCCTGGCCCCTATTCTTAATTTTTAAAATTTTTATGAGTACATATTTGTAGTACATAAGGATTACAGTATGGGAGGTTGGCACATGTATATAATGTGTCCTAATATATTTTCTTCTAGGCAGAACTTCTAGATGCTGCTGCTGGTATTCATGTACGCTTCAGATTAGGGGGAGTAAGTATCCATGAATATTTAGCAGTTTTAAAGTACATTTATATGAAATTTAAAGGATTTTTTAAAAAAATGAAAACCATTTTTGTATTTGCATTAGTGATCCTTTGAACTTTTCCATCTACAGGTGAAGTTTCCACCCGATATATACTACAAAATTTTTACTCACAGACATATTGAAGATTTGTGTGCTAACAGCCCTAGAGATTATACAAAGCTCCCAGTGAAACATACGTCTCATAATAAAAATGATCATCCTCAGGAAGAGGATCGCAGTGGCTGGTATCGTCGAATAGAAAACAATGGCTGGAGGCCTGTTTCTGATCGGGTGGGTACGAGAAAGATTAGTAACTTTAAGTTGTACATATTTAGAAACTCATTTGTCTTTTTGAAAATTAATTTTAAATTGTTTCAAAATAATAACTGCTAGTGTGTACCTGTAATCCCTTAGCACTCTGGGAGACTCAGTCAAAAGAATCACAAGTTCCAGCCCAACATGGGCAACATAGCAACTCAGGGAGCCTCTGTCACAAAATAAAAAGTAAAAAATGGGCTAGGGATGTAGTTCAATGTGAAGACCCTAAGTTCAATCCCCAGTACCAAAAGTAATAATAATTGCTAGTGATTTAATTGACAAAATCTGCTTAACTGTTCTGGGTTTTCTAGTGATTGTGAGTACAGCAATATATCTTTTTTTTTCTGCCTTAAATTTATTTCTTTTTTTAGTAGTAATCTTTGAAACTGTGCCATCTTTAGATGCTTTCTGGTACTTGGCAGATTATATACTCAGCATACAGTTTACAGGATATGGTGTATTTATGTACTTAGTATAAAACATGAAAATAATCATGGTATGAATTTATTCAACAAACTTTATTACATACTAATTATGTGTCAGGCATTGTTCCAGATGCCAGGGACACACTGATAAAAGAGAAATATTCATTTTCCTTAGTTTGTTTTTTAATTAAGAAGATAGTCAAGTAAAGAGAATAGTTCAATGTAGTAAGGTAAGTGATTTAGTGGAGGCAAATATGCAGTGTTGCAGATGGCAGCAAGCTCTCACACTTGTTATCTAGTGTATGTGTGCTTGGGGAGGGGATGAGCTGGAAGTAAGAAAATAGGTGACCAGTTAGGAGACTGGGCCCCACAGAAGAAACTCAGAGTCTTGGGACATAAAAGACGTATTATTTCTGTGTTCCTGAAGGGTGCCTGTCCAAATATGTCTACTTTGTTCTTTCGTTAAATACTAAGTATCTCAGTACGTAAGGACTGTGTCACTTTCTGTAGCATGTGCTTCTGAAAGCTCAATTTATTACCCATGATTTAATTAGAAATACCTTTACAAAGTCTATCATCTCTTCTGCTTCTGTCTTGGTATATTTCTACTGAATACACAGGTTTGTTTGTTTTTACTGACAGATCAGTATTTTGCAATCAATATTTCATCATTTTTAATATTTTCATTTTTCAATAGTTTTGGATGCCAACTGGCAGTGAAGTGGTGGGAGAGAAAAAGGAAAGTGAATTCCATTTCTCTAAACTGAAGAGAAGGCAAGATTTGGAAAGAAAAAGAAAAATTAGAAAAATAGAATGGATGAGGCAAATGTAAGTAGATAAAATACTTAGACTTACTAAATAACTTTAAAGTATTTTAGAGAAAACAAATTTGGAAAATTTACACTATTTGGGTTCAAGATATAAATCATGACATTTGTAGTATTGTCATAAAAACAGACATGAATGTATATGGAAAATAATATAACATTCAGAAATAGAACCGCAAATATATTGTCAATTGATTCTTAATAAAGGTGCCCAAGGAATTTATGTAATTGGAAAAAGTGTTTTCAGGCCGAGGATTTGGCTCAGTGGTTCCACTGCCTGCCTCACAAGTGCAAGAGACCCAAGTTTGATCCTTGGTACCAAAAAAAAAAAAAAAAAAAGTGTTTTAACAAACTTGGGTGTTCATGAAAAAAAAAAAAAAAAAAAAAAGTGTTTTCAACAACTTGGGTGTTCAAATGCAAAAAAATGAATATCGACTCTTATGTCGTATTAAAATTACAGTGGCACCTCAGTTCATGAACATGAGACATGAGGTATCACTACACTCAAATGACATCACAGACCTAAAAGAGCAAAGACCATAAAACATTTTAAAGTAACCAAAGGAGAATATTTTAGTGACCTTAATTTTGGCAATATTTCTTATATAGGACACAAAATTCATGAACTATAAAAGAAACCACACTTCAAAATTTTTGGACTTTAGCAACTTGTTACAAAAATAAAACAGGCAAAAAACAGGACAAAAATTTTACAAAATCCGTATCTGACCAAAGTCTTAATTTTAGAAGATACTTCTAAAATTGTCAGAAGTTATGATAAGACAACATAATTTTTAACATAGTCCAAAGATTTGAACAAACACTCCCTTGGTGAAGGTATATTGATAGCAAGTTAGCAACTCCATTAATGACTAATGTGCTTAGGCATTACAGAAGTGCAAACCCAAACAATGAAATATTAATACACCCACTAGAATGGTGAAAACTGTCTGCTATACTAATTGTTGGCAAAGATATGGAGCAAATGTAAACTGTACATGTACTTTGGAAACAGACTGGCAGTTTTGTGCTGTGTTTTTGTTCTTGTTCTTGCTTTTTGAGACAGGGTCTTGCTATGTAGTTCAGGCTGGACTCAAACTCATTATATAGCCCAGGCTGGCTTCAAATTTGTGGTGATCCTCCTGCCTCAGCTTCCCAAGATTACAGCTTCCATGATTACAGGTGTGAGCCACCACACCCAGTAGTTTTTAAAAAATCAATCTAACACACCTAATAACCCAGCTATTCCATCTTTAGGTATTTTCCAAGGTGAAATAAAAATTTGCTCCACAGAAAGACTGCATATAAATGTTTATACCAGGTTTATTTGTAATAGCCCCAAACCAGGAATTATACACATGCATCAGTGGGTGAATATATAAACAAATTGTGGTTTATCTACACGCACACACACACACACACACACAAATAATATTCATCGATACAAAGTAATGGACTGTTGATACACGTAACATGAATGAATCTCAAAATGATGCTGAGTGAAATAAATCAAAAACATATTGTATGATCCCATTTACATAAAATTCTAGAAGATATGAATCTAGAGTGACAACAATAAGTAGATGGCTGGAGATGAGGGGGAAGTAGTAAAAGAAGGAGACACACAAATAATATTCATCGATACAAAGTAATGGACTGTTGATACACGTAACATGAATGAATCTCAAAATGATGCTGAGTGAAATAAATCAAAAACATATTGTATGATCCCATTTACATAAAATTCTAGAAGATATGAATCTAGAGTGACAACAATAAGTAGATGGCTGGAGATGAGGGGGAAGTAGTAAAAGAAGGAGTACTAAGAGATGCAAGGAAACTCAGGGGTAATGGGTTTTTATTGTAGTGATACATTCACAGGTATGTGAATGTGCTAAACTTCAAACTGTATAATTAAATATGTGGTTTATTATGCATCATAGTTGTAACATTTTTTAAAAGTATGTGGGCAATCAGGATCTTCAAGGCAGCTTTGAAGTAATTCTTCATCTCCTTTAGTTGCAGGATGAGTTGAAGGGCAGCCCAGCTACCAGTGTTATGGAGTGATTGTGCCTGCAGTGAACTAAATACTTAGTCCTGCCAGGTCTTTTGCACTAGAATAAGGGTACTAGTGAGGAAAAAAGTAGAATCCTGAGGCTTGAGATGAGTCCTTTGAGAAGACAAGGCTAAGAATCTTAAGCCTCTAAACAACCTTGGTAGTGGAGGAAAACTTTATTGCTCCTATTAACCAAAGAAGCAGCCCACTCCTGCATAAAATGTTTTCAGTGATTGTACTAGTGCCCTGTCACACAACTCACACCGATTCTCCTCAGGATCCCCCTGCACCCTGTGACCTCCAGCTCACAATGATAGTTGTATCTCAGGACAGCCCAGACAGGGAGGTACAAGGTCTTCTCTAATTGTATATAGCTTATAAATAGAAAGTTACAAGAACTTACCCCTGTATTATCAGAAACCTTAGAAGCTCCATGTGAGGGTGGTTTCTAAGGTTGTTAGCTCACGAGTTGCTTGGACTAAACTTATGGACACAGGCACAATTGCCAGGAATTACAGATTTAAAGTGTTGGCCTGAGTACTCAGAAATGATAACAATCTGTTGGGTCAGTTAATAAAAGCCTGCACTTAGACAATTTCTACCATTGTAAAATGATTGAATGTCCTCAGTATACTGTAGAAATAGGCATCTTAAGACTATAATGTGTGTTTCTATTACGTGCAATTTAGCCTGCTGGTAGCTATATCTAGGAGGTCCCAGATTATACCCTGTTCATCAAGTTATTTAGAAATGGCTTGCTGAGGGGAACAGCAGAATTCTTGCTAATTCTGTCCTTTATAGTATAGAGAAGATGGTGGGAAAAGCTGTGACAGAACTGGTTCATTTAGATCAAGGGTCCCCAAACGCCAGGCACTGGATCAGAACCTGTAGCAGTCTGTGGCCTGTGAAGATGGGGCTACGTGGCAGGAAACGAGTGGCAAGCTGTATTTACAGGTGCTCCTCACTGCTCACGTCACTACGTGAGCTCCACCGCAGATCAACTGTGGCATTAGAGTCTCACAGGAGCATAGACCCTACTGAAAACTGCATGTTCAAGGATATAGGTTGTGTAGTCCTTATGAGAGGCTAATGGCTGATGATCCAATGTGGAAATGAGGCAGTAATGCTAGTGCTGGGGAGTATAATTATTATGTATTACAAATGCACATTAATAAAAACAAAAACCGCCTCCATAGTCTATAGAAAAATTATCTTCCAAGAAACAAGGCCCTGGTGCCAAAAAGGTTGGGAACTGCAGCTTTAGAATCCTGGGAATAATGGCACTTTGAAATATATAGGTCAGATAGACATAGCTGCAGTTAAGTGTCTAGATGTGACCTCTTTTAACACAGCAAATCAGTGCAGCCTGTGGTACTAGGTATGCCACTACTGACCTGACAAATGATTTTTTTCCCCATCCAAATCACTCAGTGAAAAGAAGTTTGCATTTGCATGGAAAGAACAGAATGTATCTTTACCTCTTATGCTCAGAACCGTATCACTCTTCCAGCTCCCATGCCTCAGAGCTTGCATGTCTTGATTCAGGCAGAACATCCGACCTATTATGTTGATGACCTTTCACTAACTGGGCACAGTGAGCAGAGTATAAGCCCCTGGGTAACTGAGTAGAACAGATATACACTAGAAAGAGAAGAGTAAATTGTGCAAGAAGTTAGCAGTCTACCACATATCTGAAGCTTACAAACATTTGAGATATCCTTTCTAAACTGAATCAAGTAGTTGTACCCTGTACCACCGACCTTGAAGAGGAAAGACACTCCACCACACTCTTGCAGTACTGTGGATTGAATTTAGGGCCTTCCCACTTGGCTCAAATATCTCCTTCTGAAACCTTCTCTGATATATCTAGACAGACACTACTTTTCTATACAGGTAATCAAACTCAGGACCTTGTCTTTGCCAGGCAGGCACAGCACCACTGAGCTACATCCCCAACCCTAGACACTACTTGTTTGTTTAGTTTTTTTGTGTGGTTTTTTTTTTTTTTTTTTTTTTTTTTTTTGAGACAGGGTCTATGTAGTTGAGACTGACCTGGAACTCACTGTGTAGCCTAGGCTGGTCTCCAACTCAGTGATCCTCCTGCCTCAGCCTCTCGAGTGCTGGGATTACAGGCATATGCCACCATGTCCGGCTTAGACACTACTTTTTGATATGCCCTATGTATCTTTTATATACTCAGTGTTATGGTTTATATGTAGATGTCCCCTCCAAGCCTCATGCACTCCTGGATGGGGCTTTTGAGAGGTGACTGGATCAAGGCAGTGTGATGCTTATCAGTGCATTCATCCACGGATGAATTTTTATCTAAATGTGATGTTGGGCGGTGAAGCTTTGTCAGAGGAGGTGGGTCACTGGGGGCGTGACCTGGAAAGGTCTCTCTCCCTCCTCCCCCTTTGATCACTCTCTGCTTTCCATATTTATAGCATCACAATTCATAACAGCTAAATCTTGGAAGCAACCTATATGTCCATTAACAGATGAACGGAAAAAGGAAATGTGCTTATTTACAATGGAGTACTCCTCTGCTATAAAGTATAAACTTCAGTCATTTGTAGGAAAATGGATGCACCTTGACAGCATAATATTAATTGAAATAAATCAGACACACAAGCTTAAATATCTTATGGCTTCTGTTCAATGAGACACCTAAAATATAAATAAAGATAAAAATAAAAGATAATAGGAAAAAGGGAGATCTACTGCAAAAAGAGGAGACTAAGAGGTAGATGTACTGGAGGGTAAGGAAATAAAAAAAAAGAATTAAGATGTATTATGTACATATACCAACTCCCTAAGAAGATCACAGTCCTTATGTACTGCAAACATATGCTAATAAAAAAATGAAAACTGAAAAATGCTGGTGAGAATGTGAGGTGTGTGTGGGGGAGGTCCTTACACTGCTGGTGGGAATGTAAGTTGGTAGCCACTAATGGAATTCACTATGGAGTTTACTCAAGAAACTAAAATTAGAGCTATGATTTGATTCAGCTACACCACTCCTTGGTATATACCAGGAGGAAGTAAAGATGATCTACAGGGCTACCTGCATTATTGTGGCATAGTTCACAAGAGCTAAGATATGGTTCCAGCCAAGGTGCCCATCAGCAGATGAAAGGGTAAAATGTGACATAGATACACAATCGAGTTTATTCAGCCATAAAGAAGAATGAAATTTTGTCACTTGTAGGCAAATGGCAGGAACTGGAGATAATTATGCTAAGCAAAATAAGCCAGACTCAGACAAGAATAGTATGTTCTAATATGTGGAATCTAAAAAAGATGACAGGAAAGTAGAAGACCATTATTAGTCAAGAGGAAAGGAATAAGGAAAGCGGGGGAGAGGTATAGGGAGACTGAGGGATTGATATGATCAACATATGTGTATGTTTGAATATGTCACATTAAAAGTAATTTGTAAAATTAATAGGCACTAATAAAAATATATTTTTAAGAATGCAAGTTAAGGACAGGTGATTTTTAAGAGAGGGCTTTCTGGTTAATTGGTTACTTTTTCCCCTCTCCAAAATTCCATCACAGGGGTCTTTGTTTAGGTGCGCCCGAGTTAGAAGATGAAAATGACTTAATGTATAATTTTAACCCATAAATGGCACCAGTATTTATTAAATACATCTTTTTTTTTTTTTGAGTAATGGTCTCCCTTTGTAGTTCAGGCTGGCCCTGACCTCACTATGTAGTCCAAGCTGGCCTTGACCTCTCGGCAATCCTCTTGCCTCGGCCTCCCATGTGTGCTGGGATCACAGGTGTGCACCACCATGCTTGGCATACCTGCATGTACTTCTAATCACCTATTTGAAAATATTTCTGTCCCTTCTCTTCTATTTAGGTACTATGCAGGAAGCCTGCAGGCTAAGTCAACTCATTGTGAAACTGTAGATTTAATTCATACAGCAACAAAAGGGCTCATAAGAACCATGGAAGATGGTGGAGTAGATTCTGTGATGGAATGGGAAGTGGATGAGGTGCTGAACTGGACAAATAGCCTCAACTTTGATGAGTAAGTACATGTCGCTGTACTTTATTCTGCTTAAGAGGAGGGCTTTCCATTTTATGTCTTCAGTCTTTCTTCAGGGTTACGTAGTTTTCATCATAAAAGTTTTTTATTCCCTTGGTCAGGTTAATTCCTAGGTAATTTTTTTAAAGCTATCATGAATAGAAGTATTTTCCTGATTTCTCAGTAGGGTCATTATTGGTATATAGGAAAACTACTGATTTCTGTAAATTCACTGAATTTTTTTTTATAAGCTCGAAGAGTCATCTGGTGATGTTTTTTGGGTCTTCTATATAGAGGGTCTTCTCACCTGCAAATATAATAGAATTAACTTCTTCCTTTCCTTTTTGCATCCCATTTCTTTTGCTTGATTGCTCTGACTGAAGTTTTGGGTACTATATTGAACAGAGATGGTGAAAAGTGTCTACCCTTGTTTTGTTCATGATTTTAGAAGGTGTGCTTTTCAGTTTCCCTGTGAAATATGGTATTGGCTATGAATTTGTCACATATAGTTTTTAATCATTTTGAGGTAAGGTTCTTCCCTATGCATTTTCATCAGGATTTTTATCGTGAAGAGATGTTTAATTTTGTTAAGGATTTTCTCTGCATCTATTGAGATAACAATTTTATCCTTGATGCTTTTCATGTGGTGTATTATATTTATTGATTCATGTATGTTAAACCATTTTTGCATCTCTGGGATGAAGCTAACTTTATGGTGTGTGATCTTTTTTAATAATTTACTGAATTCTGTTTGAAAGTGTCTGATTAAGAACTTTTGCATTTATGTTCATCAAAGACATTGTCCTGTAGTCTGTATGCCTTTTTCTCTCCCTTCCATTTTCCCTCCTTCCCTCCCTTTTTGTTGAGTCCTTATCCAGTTTTGGTATTAATTAATACTGGCTTAATGGAGTAAGTTTGGAAGTATTTGTCTCTTAATTGCATGGAAAAGTTTGAGGAGTATTGGCATTAGCTTTTCTCTAAAGTTCTGGTACAATTTAGCAATGAATCCACTGGATTATGGGCTTTTCTTAGTTGGCATATTCCAGTCTCTCCAATTTATTGAAGTATAAGTTCAAAATAGTTTCTAATAATCCTCTAGATTTCTATGGTGTCTGATGCAATTTTGCCTTTTTCATTTCTGATTATATTGATGTGGGTCATTTCTATTGGTAAAGTCTGGCTAAAGACTTATCAATCTTGTTTATCTTTCAAAGAAACACCTTTTTGATTCATTGATCCTTTTATATTGTTAGTCTAAATTTCACTGACTTCAGCTCTGATCTTCATAATTTCTTTTCAGCTGTATATTTTCTATCAAGATGGTTATTACTTTTCCAGGATCTTCGTATTTTTAAAACTGCAAGTGAATTTTTACACTCTTAAATAAAGCAGGTATCAGTGGCTGGTCTTAAACACAGCATAAGTTTATAGCCCAGAATGTTAGGTCTTAGCATAGTATTGAACAAGGTGCTTTGGCTCCTTAAAAATGGCATGAAAACATTTTGGTATATAAATCTAAGGAAACAGGTGACTAACATGTAACTCTACTTAGTGTTGATCAATTACTGAAAATACAAAGTTTGCCTAAATTTAAATTGAATTGCTTACTAAGAGATCTCAGAAGGGGTTGTGTCTTTTCACTTCAATGACTCAAAAATATTTTATTTAAGGACAAGAATAAACTTATGGAGAAATTAGAGATAGCAGTAGTAAGGAGCCAACTTCAGATATAGCACCTTATTACAATTAAATACTATTACACAACATATATGTTCCTATAGCAAACATCTCAAGAGCACAGGATTACCAAGAGTAAAAATATTTGAAATGGAATAAATATTTGGAAAAAGCAGTGTTTTTTTCCTGAATTACATGAAAACTCTAATATTCATTTTTTCTCTGTCAGCTCCTTTTCAGCACTCCCTTCAGCCAACTCCTTACCTGATTTGGGCCACTGAAAGGAGTCTTAGGAAAGGGTATAGGAAGTCTAAGAAGAAACAAGTTGCAGGAAACTTACCTCTTGAACTTTCTCCCATCTTCCTCTTCACAGCTCCATACCTTATTCTTCCCTATTTTACATCTTTAGCTATTCTGGTCTCCCTAATTCAGCTTCTGTCTAGGGAGCTGAGGTGTCAACCACTCTACTTGAATATGACCTTCTGTATTTCCTGGGTACTGGAAAGACAGTGTGTCTGTCACTTTGTTGCTGGGTCAAAACACCCAGCACCTTCAGCTTAAAAAAAGGAGAGGTTTATTTTGTCTCACAGTTCATTAGTTTCAGTCCATACCCAGCAGGTTTAAATACAGAAATGGCATGACAGAAGGGCCTGGAGAGAGGAGAGCTGCTCCTGTCATGGGTGCCAGGAAGGAGAGAGAAGAGGCGTGGGCATGTTGCCACACCCCCAGGGACCTGCCTCTGACCAGGCCTCACCTCCTAATAGCAAGTTAGCACTCCCACCTCTGACTGCTCTTCAGAGACTATTTATTAACTTACTTATGGTTTTCCTGAGACAGGGTCACGTTGTAGCCCAGGCTGGCCTTGAACTCATGGTGTTCCTCCTGCCTCACTCTCCTGAGTGCTGGGTTTACAGGTGTCTACCAAAAAGCCTGGCTTTTCAGAGACATTCTTGGTCTAAATCTTAACACAATACTGTTCTACTAAAATCATAAACCACCAGGTTCAAATTTCCATTGAGATGTCAGCGTTAGTAGATCTAGCAATCTAGAACCAAGGAAAAAATATTTGTTGTTATTTTCTGACCGTTCCCTCTGAGTTTTCTGTCCATACTTTAAATTTAGACGTTATGAACTGACATATTAGTGGGCACTCAGTTTACTGAGGGTCTTGCAGGAATGAAATACCTTTGACTAGCCAATTTGACACCTTTAACCTATGCATGTACTAATCAACTTATTACTTAAAAAGTTAAATTAACTTAACGTCCATATGATGTACTTAGGTATATTGCCAACTGGAAGCAAATTGCTACAAGCAACTCTTCAGTTAACTTCAAAGGTAGGTGACTTTCAACAAGTAATACTTTCTACCAAATTCTCATGAAACAAAAATGATACATTTCACATATTTCCAGGCATCCACCCTGGGCAAGCTAGAGGTTCAGTTTCCTCATCTGTAAAATAGTAACAATACTACACAGGTTGTGAGATGACAGGATGGATGGATACATACATAGGCAGGTCAATATCAAACTTAGAATAGTGCTTGATACATAAATTCTCCATAAATATGAGCTATTATTAGCATCCACTCGACCATTTACCTCCAACTCACTGCCACCATCCTAATGAGTTGTCATCTTTCACAGGCTTCTACAGTGGCCTTCAAACTTGTATTCCTCCAACCTATTCTCCACACAACATAATGCAAACTCTTCTTTAGCAATTACAGTGCAGGAGTGCTATCTTGAGGTGGTTTATAAAATTAACTCATTTGATTTTCAAAACCCACCAAAACAGATTATCTGTACTTTACAGAGGGGATCAGTGAAGATATTCTATGACTGCTCAAAGTCAGCTAGTCTGAGGGCCAGCATTTGAAGTGAGGCTGGTTAGCTAAGAACGCATGCTTAGGATCATACCCTGCTGTGTCCCAGTGTTCCGTCACAGCGAACTCCTAAATTGATCACAGTCTCTGCCTCTGGCCTATCTTCCTACACTTACACGCTCCATTCTCCCTGCAGTCTTAGAATGCCATTATACTGCCTTGTGCCTATTCCTAAAACACATCATGCAGTTTCCATTTTGGGGGACTAATGGAGTTGATGATCTGCTACAGAAGTTTTTCATAACTATGCTTACTAAATGGCAGGGAGTTGTCTGTGTGTTACAGAAATCTCAAATGTGTAGCATACAGATTTTCACTAGTAGATCAAAGACTATAAAGGATCCGCAGGTACAAAAAGGAAACAATAAAAATATAAATTACTGAGCTAAAATACAGGATGGTTGTTGGAAGAAACATTAGAACTAGAGAAAATTATTTTTAGTGGATTTGCACAACTGAAGCTGGTGAAGAGGGATACACATTGAAGATATGGGCACTAGAGGTGAATGTGTGCTGCTTCAAGAAGCCACAGAAGGGCTGGGGACTTAGTTCAGTGGTTCTGCTGCCTGCCTCATAAGCACAAGGTACCAAGTTCAATCCCCAATACAAAAAAAAAAAGCCACAGATCAAATCCAGATCTGGGAACTTTAGCTCTGGAGCGGGAAAAGGTATTCCTTTCTTCATGAATAAAAGAACTGCTAGCAATTAGTTAATTATAGAGCACTTGCAAAATGCCATATACTATGCCAAATTCTTTATATGGACCAGGACATTTAGTGCTCACTAAAATGTGAGGTAGGGTGCAATTGTGATCACTGCAACTTAAGAGAACTTAACTGCCCCAAGATATAGTTATTCAGTAAAACCCCAATCCCATGTCCCACAGAGCCTTTTAAAAAACAGAAATGGACAATGATAGTGTTGAAAGGATGAACTAAAAAATTGTCACATTTATGGTTTCAGTTAAATAGCTAGATAATTGTTCTAAGAGTAGTAAAAAAGAATACAGATCTTACCTGGCACATATGGCATATTGAATGAGTCTACCTAATCCCATCTACCATCTTTCTAATCATTTATCATTCTCTTCAGGTTTTCGTTTTGAGCAAGCAAAGAAAAATATATGACTACCAAGATACAACAGAGGCACAAATGGGATCACCATATGGTATTTTATATGAAAATGTTTACAAAGAGCCAGACTCTGCTAGATTAACACCCAGCTCCACTTATGGAATATAAACATAATGTACTTTTATTTTTTGAGCTCTGGCCCTTCAAGCCCTGTATTCATCAGATGGAACTAAGAGAGCTCAGTCTGACTAGAACAACCTGTGTATGTATTCTTGTTGCAGCATCCAGCCCAGTTAAATCAGGAAGATAGAACAGAAATAGAGTGATAGCCCAAATACAGTGGTCATAGAAAATAGAGAAATTATTCTTGGTATTCTGAGAAACTGTAGTATTCTAACAATCATAGGTAAATAAAAATACTACATTTAGTGTAAAAAAATTTTTCTGTGTGTGCAATCATGCAAGACAGAGCTATGTATCCCAGATCCAAATGGGACTTGCTTCTGTCTCACCTCTACCACCTTCCTCCATCCTTTTCTCAACTAAATTTTAAAAATATTAACATGTAATAGTACATATTTATGGGGTACTGTACATTTCAACACAAGTATACAACATGTACTTATCACATCAGGGTAATTAACATTCCTATCTCATCTATGTCCTTTAATGTGTGGAGCCTTCAAAGTTACTCTTGTAGTTTATCAAAAAATATGTAATAGGTTATTGTGAACTAGTTACTCACTGTGCTGCAGAACACTAGAATTTATTGTTTTGATTCCCGTTATTCCTCTTCCAAACTCCCTACCCTCACAGTTGTCTTTGAGTTATCATTATTTTATATTCAGATGGACTTTTATTTCCCCCCACTCACATATCCTGTGGCTGGCTTATTTCATTTAATGTCCTCCAGTTTCACCCGTTTTGTAACAGTTAACAGGATTTTAGTACTTTTCATGGTGGAATATTCCATTTGTGTTCCAGATTTTCCACTCATCCATTGATGGGCATCTAGGTTGACTGTGTATCTTGGTTGTGAATACTGTTCCAATACATTTGAGTTCAGGGATTTCTTTGGTATTGTAATTTCCTTTGGATATACATCAAGAAGCAGGGCTTCTTGAGATTATGATAGATTTAATTTCTTGAGGAACTGCCATACTGTTTTCTATACTGGTTATACTAATTTACATTTCCATCAACAGTATTGAGTCCCTTTTCTCCACATCCTTACCATCCTTTTAAATAGTTTGTCTGCAGTGTGATGGTTATCTCCTTGTACTCTTAATTTGTATTTTCCTGATAACTAATGATACCCAGTATTTTTTTCAAACATTTGTGGCCATTTGTATTTCTTTTGGGAATTTATCTGTTCAACTTGCCCATTTTAAAATTGGATTATATGGTTCATTTTTAAAAATTCCTTATAGTGTATTTTGGATAGTCACCTTGTATCAGATTATATGCAAGTATGCCTCCCGTTTTGTAGGTTATCTCTTCACTCTGTTGTTTCCTTTGCTATGCAGGGCTTTTTATTTTGACGTATTCTCATTTGTGACATTTTCACTTGTTTCCTGTGTTTATGCGTCCTCAAGAAAACAACTGCTGGGCCAGGGATTTAGCTCAGTGGTGCCAAGCCTAAAAACTCAAGGTCCTGAGTTTGTTCCCTGGTGGGGAGTTGGGGTGGGAGAAAAAAGGAAAAATTGCCTGTAAATGCCTTGACATGTTTTGCATTTTCTTTTAGTGGTTTGTCAGGCTTTGCAATTAGATCCTTGATCAATTTTGAATTGATCTCTGTATAGTGATGGATAGGGATCATCTTCTGAAATATAGTCATTCAGTTTTCTATGCACAGTAGGGAATAACAAAGTGGCCTTTCTCCAACATTTTTCAGCATGTAGCTGCATGGGTTTATTTGTAGGATTGTACATTTCTGGTTACTTTAACTCTGTATTAAGTATTTTGATCCCTCCAGTTTTGTTCTTTTTGCTTAAAGTTGCTCTAGCTATTTGGAGTAGGGACATGTGTGTGCATGTGTTTCCTCATTAATTTTGTTTCTCTACTTTTGTGAAAAATGTCATTGGGATTTTGATGATTACTGATTTTATAAATTGCTTTAGAATAGTATGGACTTCTTTATTTTCCCAAGTCATGATCTCTTTATGTAGTTTGGGCTGGCCTTGAATTCTCCATGATCCTTCTGCCTCAACCTCCTGAATGGCTTACAGATTATAGGATTACAGATACGTGCAACCATGCCTAGCTTCAAATATGGAAATTTTAACATTACTTACAATCTATGAATATGGAAGGGTTTTCCATGTGTGTCTTTAGTTTCATTAGTGTTTTATAATTTTCCACTGTAGAGGTTTTTCATTCTTGGTTAAATTTATTCCTAGGAACTTTTTTTTAAAGCTAGTGAACAGGGTTGCTTTCATAATTTCTCAATAAGTTTGTTATTGGAGTATAGAAAGGCTACTGATATTTTATCTTGAAACTTACTAAATCCAATTATCAGTTCTAATAGTCTTCGTGGAGTATTTGTTTTTCTATAGATAAAATCATATCATTTGAAAATAGGAATAATATTGGGGCATGGGATTCAGATCAGTGGTTCTGCAGCCTGCCTCACAAGTGCAAGGTCCTGAGTTCAATCCCTGGTACAAAAGAAGAGAAGGAGGAGAAAGAAAATAGGAATAATTAAACTTCCCATTTTCTATTGGTATAACTTTTATTTCTTTTGCCTAAATACTCTGGCTAAAACATTTAACATATTGGCTAGGAGCTGTGGGAGTAGATACTTGCTGTATTCTAGATGTGAGAGTAAATGTTTTCATCTTTTCCCCATTTAGTAGGCGTTTCTCTGGATTTGTTGTATTTACCCTTTGTTGTGGCATGTTCCTTCTATGCTTTATTTACTTTTTCATCACAAATGCTGAATTTCACAAAATGGTTTTTCTTCCTCTATTAAGATAACCAAAAGGGAAAGACATACTTCTTAAAATCCAGCAAATGACAGAAAATTTAATGATAAAACACTGACACTTTTAGGACTAGAATGTTCCATTACTACCTCTATGGATCACTGTGCTAAATGGAGGTTGCAGTCAGCACGAGTCAAGAAAAAGCAAAAATAGAAAATCTAGGAAGAAGCATATCTGAATTATTCATAATTATGTGTACATAAAATCTATGACTCAGGGCTGGGGATTTAGCTCAGTGGTGACTCTGGCTGCCTCATAAGCAAAAGGACCTGAGTTCGATCCCCAGTAAAAAAAAAAAAATCTAAGACTCTTTCAAAAGAAAGAATAAGAATGATTACTGGACCATGAGTACTGGACAGAAAATTATCATATAATAACTACCTTTAATTCTAAATACCAATAGTAATTAGAAAAAAACTGAAAAATATTTATAAAAATAAATAAAAATGCCTAGGGATATGATCTCTGCAAGTAAAACTGTAAAACTTCATTGAGTGACATTAAAAAAAGATCTATGAACAAAGGGGAAATTCCTTATACAAAAGCTTAAATCAGAAATGAAAACAATGATTAAAAATGTTCACCAAAAACATTAAGAGAATGAAAAGATAAGCTACAAAATTGGAAAAAAATGTTAGTATTAATGTAACCAACAAAAGACTAGTAGAAATATTGGAAAAGACTGTGCAGAGGTAATGTGCGAAAGAGGAAAAACATACTGACCAGCAAACATATACAAAAGTTTAATTTTCCTAGTCATTATTGAGTTACAAATTGAGACTATTCCACTTTGTACCCAGGAGAATAATTTTAGTTTTCAAAATTGCAGTGGGAGTGGCAAAATCATGTGGTCAAGAACACTTCTTTTGATTAATATCCTATAAAAGTACATATTTTTACATATTGCTATACATAAAACCTTGTATGATTTAAGGGGAAGTAAGAGATTTTTCAGAGGACACTTTGCATTATATAAAATCACTGTTACCAATTCTGAATCTAAACTTTGACTTCAGTGTATAGAATGCATTCTGGCAGAAGCTAGACAAAAAAGCCTGAGATCCTCAAGAGGAGTTAATTTTTTAAAAATGATAAATACGTAGAACATCATATTTAGGATATCAGGGTCTTTGTATTTGTCATTCTAGAGCAAATCTTTTTTATTTTATTTACAATGTCAACTAGATCATTTTCTAGGCCCAGGCAACAAACATTCACTTGTCTTAAAGACATTAATTACAACTTATTATTCTTAGATGCAGCAGGCCAAACTGGCCCAGCTGACTCCTCAATTCACAGTGAGATAGCAACTGCATTATCTTCCCCAAACTCTGAACTCTCTTATATGGGTTGACTATGCCTGTTGTACTCACTGTTGTCTCCTAAGTAACTACCCCTATGCCTAACATATATTATTTTCTAAAATTTATTCAAAAATATTTAATGATAGATATAGGTAACAGGAAAGTCAAGAAATACATTTAATAGTACTAAAATCTATATAAAATATAACGTCACTAAGGTGCAATTGAAATACTTGAATGGCACATTTTTCTATTCAACTCAGTATACTGGCCATCTAGTTTTTTCTTTTCTTTTTGAGACAGGGCCTTGCTATGTAGTTCAGATGGCCTCTAACTCATAGCAATCCTCTTGCCTCAGACTTCCAAGTGGTGGGATTACAGATGTATACCACCATGCCAGGCTGGACTTTAGTTTTTGACAGTACGGTTTATTTTAATCTTTGAGATGCCCAATTTCCCTGTTTTTGTTTTCCACCATATTTAAATTTTTATTAAATTTTTAAGTGTGTGGGTTTTTTTTTTTACAATTTAAGTATATACTATGATGATGTTGCATTTATCTACATACTGTTTAGGGAGCTACTCTGAGGAAGTAAGACCAGTGAAGCATATGTGAGAGGGCTATTACCTCCCTTCCCTCTATCTGGACACAACTGTTTAAACACTCTGTTAGCTTTTCTAGAAGCTTCTCTATATATTTGTTTTTTGTTAATCTTGTGAGCAACTGGTTGAGGATCCCCAGATTTTCATCTGAAATATCTTCTAGAGAATACCCATATTACACTTTTTTTGCAATTAAAAAAAGGAAACTTTATCCTATTTATCTAACTTTTACTTTCTGCAGCCATAAATTGGGATAACATCACTAATCACCCAAGATTTTGTTGTAAAGATGAGAGATGTTGCTACAACATATGTCAGGTACTCAATATGTTAATATTTAAAACCCTAACCACCCCTCATTATATTTATTCTGATTCATACCAAGGGAAAACCATCATGCTGATGGTTCTCACAAATATATAAATCAGGTGATTCTACTGAAAATAGGTACGATTTTGAGAAGAATAAACATTTGGACTAGATGTAGAGCATGAATAACTATTATTTTTAACATGCAAGAACAGAGATACTCAACACTATCAAAGTATCTTTGGGTGGTGAGTGAATGAAGCAGTAAACACTTTTTAAAAATACAGTTGTGTTCTCTTAAATATTAATCCCTATTCAGTTTGTGGCTGGATTAAAAATGAAGGCTGAAATATAATTTCTAAAGGCTGAATTCAAGAGTGATTCACATGCTGAAGATCACACCCAAGCTTTCCATCCTGGGAAGAGTCGGCTGAGATTTTTGGGATCCATGGCCTGCTGTATGAGCAAATTCACCTGTCCACCCACACTGAGCACGGTGCCTTCCTCCACTCCTTTGAGTTTTTCTTGCAATCTCATCAAGACACGTTCAGCTACTTTGTTCAAACTCTGGTCAGTATCACTGATGACAAAAGCACAAAGATTTCAATGTGTTACGACAGTGTTAAGGTCTTTGAGAATGAGAACATCTAAACAACAGACACAAGTCCTTCCTAAACCACTGCTCTGCTCACCTAAGATTTCGTTTGCATTGTTGGTCATCTGCATTCAGAGTGGAGTGGAGCTCATTTTCATCCTCAGGCCTCTGCTGTAAATACAACGCTTTCAAAGGATTCATGGTCCAGTCAAAGAGTGGATCGTACAAAAGGACCTAGAGAAATATTAGAAGAATGATGTGCATTTTAATCATGTACTTAGAAACAGTAGAGCCAGTATTACAAAAATAACAAGAGGCCAGGAAGATGGTAGTTGATGGAGACGAGGCAAGCTTATCACACATGCTTCATGTTTTCTTGTGGAGCAAACTATACTAACGTAAAGCTTGAAGGTTCTCCCTCTATTCTCAGTTCATTCTTTCTCTAAGTTTGGGAATAAAGGGTGTATTACATTGAAACCTCAAAAAACAAGGTCTGGTACTATGGTAGGGAAATATGATATATGGAATAGACAAGTATATGTTAAGTAGCTAGAAGTGGCTTTGTGTCTTAAATTTTAAACTTGATATGATGGTGCATGCCTCTAATCCCAGCACTTTCGTGGCTAAAACAGGAGGATTCTAAATTCAATTTAAGTTCAATGTAGTGTGAGACTACATTTCAAAAAACAAACAACAACAACAAAAAAACAAGGGATAGAGATATAGCTCAGTGTGAAGGCCCTGGATGCAATCCTCAGTACTGCCTCCCAGCCAAGTCTTACATTTTAGAAAGCATGTGGGTGGGTGGGGACCGAGGTTATAAGAGATTTCTAAGCTTGACAATTTAGACTAACAAACAACCCTGGTGTTTATTAGCACAGGATATTCTTTTTTCTTGTCAGCTATAGCAAATACTTACATGTTTTACTAATAAAGACACAATCACATTAACAAATGATTCTTCAGGACATGCCAGCATTAGGAGATTGGAACATTTTTTGCTTCTATCTTTACTGTGCTTTCTGGCACCATATTGGGACTATAAAACGTCTTCAAGATGTTTAATTTTAGAATATGTGCTAGATCAGCAGTGCCAAAATCTCTTCATTTTGTAATGTTACTTTGAGCATCTTCTGGGGCCATTAAACATTGGAGGAATTAGCTAGTCATGATGGCATATGTCTATAATCCTTCACAAGAGGGTGAGGCATAAGGATCATGAATTAGAGGCCATTCTAGGTAACTTATTAAGACCCAATCTCTCTCTCTCTTTTTTGTGGGGGGGTACTGGGGATTGAACTATGGACCTTGCGCTTGCGGGGCAGGCCGCGGAACTACTGAGCTAAATCCCTGGCCAAGACCCAATCTCAAAAAGAAATGGGGATGTAGTACAGTGATACAGTGCTTTCCTTGTATGCATGAAACCCTGGTTTCAATTCCTAGTAGCACAAAAAACAAAAATAAGAACTGGAGGAAATGACCTTGATTTCATGTGGCTTGTTCATAGGTTCAAGAGTATCTATACAAATTCAAATTGGGCACTAAAATGGAATTAGATTTTGCACATATAAACCAGTTTTATCCACAAAAGGAAATGTATTGATCAACTAATGTGAAGAAACAAAGGCCTCTATTATAAAGATACTACATATAGTCTTTATAGATTGAAGGAGAAACAACACAAATTATTTCAAAAGGAAAGGCTTGTGTCAGATCATATCTGCAAATAGTGGAATCAAGGAGGGACTGGAACAAGGCATGGTGGTGCATAACTAATCCCAGCATTCTGGTAGGCTAAGGCATGAGGACTGCAAGTTCATGTCCATCGTGGATAATTAACAAGACTTTGTCTCAAACAGAAAAAAGAGGGGCTTGGATGTACCTCAATGTAAAGACCCTGGGTTCAATCCCCCATACCTCCCCCCAAAGGAACTGGAATAATTAGAAAATATTCTTTAGTATTATCAAAATAGAAGTAGGGCTGGGGACTTAGCTCAGTGGCACCATTCCTGCCTGGCAAGTGCAAGGCCTTGAGTTTGATCCCCAGTACCAAAAAAATGGAAATAAAATTTTAAAAAACAGAAATGTTTTCTAGAGTAGGGCTTCTTAATCTTAGCATTAGTGTTGGCTGGATGCCTCTGTTGTGACAGACTGTCCTATGCAATGTGGGATGAGTGGCAGTACCCTGGCCTCTACCCAGTAAATGTCAATTATATCTTAATCCTTCCCTACAACTGTAAAACAAAGTATTTCCAGACATTACCAACTATCCTCTATAGGACACAACCATCATTGGCTAAGTATCACTGAGCTAGAGAAACAGAAATATTTCACTAGCAGAAAAGAAAAAAATCTTAGAGGATGGGGTGGTCCATGGTGAAAAAAACAAGATCTTGAAGGCTAATAAGTCAAATATACTCAGCGGTAAAGCAAAATATATCCAAGTCAAAGTGCTCTGAAAGAAAGGTTTAGGACACAGGAGATACTTAAACTGTTAATAGATCAGAAATAGGGACTGTGATTCAGAGGGAAATAGAATCTGTGAGAGGAGAGGAATGACTAAGGATCAGGACCCATGATGCTATTGACAAGCACATGCCTAGAATCAAGGACAGAAAGCCCACATAAAATCAAATGAGAAGGTACTCTTAAAGCTGGACAACCACACCAAATGATTTGTGGAGATATACAAAGGGGAGATCAGGTAAGTAAGTAAAAAATCAGTTTTAAGGGATATGTTCAGGAATGACGTATCTGTAAGTAGAAGTTCAGATCACTGCTTAGACTAAATGACCTCACTCAGAGTACAGCCATGGTCTTTTACAGTTGTTTACAAACCCATAAATAACCCAACAATCACTGTAACTATATTCTGCCACTGTTTTTAAAGAATGAAGTTCATGAGCAATCTAGCATTCAACTAATCAAACTTCTGAGCCACCAAAGGAACTACACTCTTCTAATAAATGTGAACCAACAATATAGTTACTGAGGAACTCTCAAAGCTACACAAGCATAAAAAATTCCTTT